CTCAAATATAAAACAATCCTCATATTGCCATCAGATCTTTGACAAAGTAAACAAAAACACATACTGGGGGAAAGAATCTCTAGTCAATAAACGGTGCTGGGAAAACTGGATATTCCCATGTAGAAGACCGAAACAGGATCTATATGTAACACCACTTAAAAAAATTAATTCATGATGGACGACAGCCTTAAACCTAAGGCACGAAACTACAAAAATTCTAGAAGAGGTCGGAAAAACTCTTCTAGATATCAGCCTAGGCAAAGAATTTAGGAAGAGGACCCCAAAAGCAATCACAGCAACAATAAATTAATGGGACCTGATTAAATTAAAAAGTTTCTGCACAGCCAAGGGAATAATCAACAGAGCAAACAGGTAACCCACAGAATGGGAGAAAATACTTGCATGTGATACATTCGATAAAGGACTGATAATCAGAATCTACAAAGAACTCAAGTGAATCAGCAAGAAAACATCAAACAACCCCATTAAAAAGTGAGGGAAAGACATGTACAGAAACTGTTTAAAAGAAGATAGACTAATGGCCAAAACTTATGAAAAAATGCTCAGTGTCTCTAATCATCAGGGAAATACAAAGCAAAAGCACAATGAGATATCACCTAACCCCAGTGAGAATGGCCTTTATCAAAAAATCCCAAAACAACAGATGCTGGTATGGATGTGGAGAGAAAGGAACACTTATACACTGTTGGTGGGACTCCAAACTAGAACCACCTCCAAGGAAAGTAGTATGCAGATATCTCAAAGAACTAAAAGTAGACCTACCATTTGATCCAGTAAATTCCACTATTTACCCAAAGGAAAAAAAGTCATTTTATCAAAAATACACTTGCACTTGAATGTTTATTGCAGCACAATTCACAATCACAAAGATGTGGAATCATTCCAAGTGCCCATCGATACATGAGGGGATTAATAAAATGTGCTATATGTGTACCATGGAGTACCACTCAACTAGTAAAAAAAAAAAAAAAAAAAAATAGGTGGACTAATACTTTTTGTAACAACCTGGATGCAACTGGAGACCATTCCTGTAAGTGACGTATTGCAAGAATGGAAAAACAAACACCACATGTACTATTAAATTGGCCCTTTTGAAAAGTTTCTGTTCATGTCTTTTGCCCACTTTTAACAGAGTTGAAAAGAAGACAGACTAATGGCCAACAAACATATGAAAAAAATGCTCAATAACTCTAATCAGGGAAATGAAAATCAAAACCACAAAGAGATATCACTGAACTCCAGTGAGAATGGTCTTTATCAAAAAGTCCCAAAACAATAAATGGTGTGGATGCGGAGAGACAGAAACACTCATTCACTGCTGATGGGACTGCAAACTAGAACAACCTCTGTGGAATGTAATATGGAGATACTTCGAATAGCTACAAGTAGAACTACCATTTGATCCAGCAGTCTCATTACTCAGCATCTACCTAAAGGAAAACAAGACATTCTATTAAAAAGACATCTGTACTAGAATGTTTATAGCAGCACAAGTCACAATTGCAAAGATGTGGAAGCAACCCAAGTGCCCATCAATACATGAGCGGATTAATAAAATGTGGTATATGTATACCACTCAGCCACACAAAAAAATGGTGATTTAGCACCTCTTATATTACCTTGGATAGAGCTGGAGTCCATTCTACTAAGTGAAGTATCCCAAGAATGTAAAAACAAGGACCACACGTACTCACCATCAAATTGGTATTAACTGATCAACACTTATGTGTGCATACAGTAGTAACACTGATCGGGTGTGGGGCAGATGGAAGAGGAGTGAAGGGGATAAGTATATTCACACCTAATGGCTGTGGTGTGCAGCATCTGAGGGATGGAAACGCTTTAAGTTCTGACTTGGGTGGGGCAAAGGCAGTATATGTAACCTAAACATTTGTATCTCTGTAATATGCTAAAATAAAAAATAATAATAAAAAACAAAATAAAATAAAAATAAATAAATTAGACCTAATCAATCAACACTGTGTACACATATGGAAGTAAAATTAAAAGGAAATCAAGCAGGTGAGAGGGGGGAGGAGAGCATGAGTAAATACAAACCTAATGAGAACAATGCACACTATCTGGGTGATGGGCACACTTATAACCTTGACTCAAACTGTACAAAAGCAATTTATGTAACTGAAACGTTTGTAACCCTGTAATATTCTGAATTTTTTTTTAAAAAGGACAGTATTTTTTAAAAAAAGATTAATTTACATAGCTGTAAATCTAGATTCAGGTTTTAACTTGCTGTTAACAATAGCAGGTATGGTCTGAACTTAGGCTGGGTTCCTGAACTACCTGGCATCCTGGTCCTGACTCTTTACATAGACTGGTGCCTTAATACCTGGCCTCTGACTCTCACCTTGTCCCTATTGCACAGATTTAATCCCTGATCCCAATCTCTAGAGTAATATGCTCAATGGAAGAGCGCCTAAGTGAGGAAAGGTGGGTAAATGCAAAGTGTACAGAATATATTAGATAAATCAACAAAGTAATCTCAGAACACAGTATATTAATAATCATCTTCTCTTTTACACACTGTCTCACAATTACAAAGACATCTTCATAAAATCAAAAGATGAAGAGGAATCTCAGTAAGTGATATCATAGTCTAAAGCTTTAAAAATTCTACAGAAAACATAAATATACATAAAATACTCAACTAGATAATTCCTCTTAAAAAATACAGAATATCAAAAACAGCACAAAAGTTTGTTTTTAAAAGCAGCTTGCTCACCTCTCATTTATTCCAGGAAAATAAATGGAACTACTTGCTAATATTATTTACATAAGGATGATTATTGCTAGGGTATGATCAAATTAAATACAATGTTTAGTAAATATTTTTCAGCCACTATACAAATCAGGCTCAAGGGTACTTAAAAGATGGGTGTAATCCAACTTATTTTCAAATCCTTTGACAGTTAATTCTAACCGACATTGAGAAATGTTTGCCTATGAATGACATTTGAGAAACATTTGAGAAATGTTTGTCTTTCATATTAGAGTATGATCTAGATCAGCAAGGTCCAATAGAAATATAATGAGAGCCAGTATAAGTTTAATTTTTATAGAAAGCACATTTTTAAAAGTAAAACCAAAAAACATATAAATTTTAATATATTTTATTTAACCCAATATATGCAAAAGTTATCATTTCAACATGTGATCAAACTTTAAAAAGACTGATAAGATATTGACTTTTTTGCATTATAAATCTTCAAAATCCACTACAGATTAAACACTTAGAGCATCTCAATTTGGACTAGCCTCATTTCAAAACTTCAACAGCCACATGTAGCTAGCTGCTAACCTACTGGACAGCACAAATCTAGATGCTGTTTAATAAAGAATATATACTGTGAGTTATAGGGCTAAATTATAATATTGCTTCATTGATAAAATTCAATTATCTGGCCTACTTGGAAATCAATACATTACCTTTCTCTCAACTCTGTCTTTCCTTTAAATAAATCATCCCTGATCATACAAAAGCTGCTAAGAAACGGAAGGACTAAGAATGATGAATTAAATTGAAAACTTCTTCGGATTACAAGGTTTTTTTATTGTTTTTAGTTAAAAGGACACATGCTATAATGCCTACATGAAAATCAAATACATTTCTTAAAAGCAGACAGAAAACTATGAGGGGCCATGTAGTATGAATGAAACTCAAGTCTTAGCAGAGACTCTGCAGTAGGACCAGAATATGATCAAAAACTAAAACAAATAAGCAGAGTCCATACATACAAAACACTCTTAGAGTGGATTGTACCACTTATATTTAAAACATTCAGCTGGGCGCAGTGGCTCACTCCTGTAATCCTAGCACTCTGGGAGGCCAAGGTGGAAGGATTCCTTAAAGCCAGGGGTTCAAGACCAGCCTGAGATAGAGTGAGGGCCCCTCTCTACTAAAAATAGGAAAAATTAGCCAGGCATTGTGGCACTCCCCAGTACTCTGGAGGCTGAACCAGGAGGATCACTTGAGCCCAGGAGTTTGAGGTTGCTGTGAGCTAGGTGACGCCATGACATCTAGCCTGAGCAACACAGTGAGACTCTGTCTCAAAAAAAAATTTTTTTTTTGCTATATTTTACCCTTGACCTAATTCCAGACTAGAACTATGTATAGTCAACATTATTCATACAGAGTACCAAACTAAAAGTCTCTTTATGGGTGGGGCCTCTCAGTTTCAAAAGCTTCATTTTCACTAACTCCCTAACACAGTGCCTGGCACATCGTATTTTCTTAACATTTGTTGAATGAATGAATATCAAGTAACAGGAGCTGAATATAAACTCCTATGTCAAGCACTTCAAAATAAAATGTTAAAAAGTGGAGCCTTTCAACTAAAAGGTTTTACTACAGTCAACAAAAATTGAAGCTTTATTACAGTTAAAATACTACCCATCATTTACTCTCTTTGGATACAACACTTTTAAGGAACAGATATCATCACCCTCATTTAATATAAGAGGAAGGTAGGGCCAAAAATGATTGAGTCATATAATTATTAAGCAGTGGAGCCAGATTTCAAGCCCAAGTCCTCAAACAAAAACTATGTGTGGGTATGTGGGGGTGTGAGTTGGAATGGGATGTGTGGATATTATGAAAACCATAATCCCCATGTCCCTCTATCGTTAAAAGGATTTCCATTACAAAAGCCTCAGAGAAAAATACGCAAGGGATGGTTTCCAACTCCATACACACACACAACCCACAACTTTTTAAGAAACTCAAGTCTACTTAAAATATAACGATAAGCATTGTTGATCAGAACGTAAAGGTAACCAGACAAAAAGGCTACACCCTTCTATCTCTCCCTGCCGCGACAAGTCAAACTGGGAACGAAAGCACCCCCTGCGGCCTGGGACAGGCTCGCCCCGGCGCAGAGAGACTAGGAGGCGCCCCGCCCAGCCCCTGCGGTGCAGCTATCCCCATCCCCTGGGACGGCGACGGGACACTAGCTCCAGCCTACCTGACCGGCTCCCGCCACCGCTTGAACCAGCTGCAACAATTGGCCATCAGACTGAACATGCCAGGTCGCTCCTCCCGCCACCTCCCATCCGATCCCAGAGCGGGGGTGGGCCCCTGGATTCCTCGGGCCGAGTCCCGGGGGCCTCCGCCTCTCGGAGGCGCCCCTAAGGCGGATAGGCCCCGAGGAAAAACCGGGAGAGCGGGCAAGGCGGCCGGTCCGAACACCACGCCCTGCTAACCGCGTCGGTCCGCGAGCGGACAACGACTGCCGTCCCCGCCCAGGGACCGCGGGGACAGAGGCGCAGATAAACTGGGCAGAGTTAGCGGGACCCGACCAGAGAAAACCCCCGCGCCGACGTGCTGACGTTGCTCCAAGGCGCGGAAGGCCCTCCTCCAAGCACCGCCCCCATTGCTCTTCTCCAATCATCGATTGAGGGCCCGCGGCGGGGGCCTCGGAGTGGCTGAAGGGGCCTGGCTTCCCGCCCCTGCCCGAGAGCTGGGAGGGAGGAAGGGGCGTGGTCTAGAAGAAAGAGGCGGAGCTCGGGGGAAGAGAGTTCTCGTAACTAGGCAACGCGAGCGTCCAGAGATAAGCTGAGGGATCTGGGATAGATCTCAGGCAATCCTATCTTTATACCTGTACAAAATGTGTTGCCAGTCGAGGGTGCTGCTACTTGTCTGTCTCTAATATCCCCAAGTGAGATTCAGAGATCTCAGGTCTTGTGCATGAGTTTTATTTCTCTTTTGGGGGAGTTTACTTGCAGCGGGGGTGGAGATCCTCTGGGATTCTGGCAAACTCAGGCTGCACAACTACAGGAACAATATACTGGACAATTATTGTAAGTGAAGGACAAGGGGGAAATTCGTTTGCTAAATTTTCTCAATAGTTCAGATGAGAGTGAAGGTTTAATCTCTATTATGTTTATTGCTGTTACATAATATGTGAGATGTAATTGTATATTTTTGTAAGGGGGTTATGATTACAAAACAAATATATGTTCGTTGTAGAAAATGTGAAAAACAATGAAAAGGAACAAGATGAAGAAATTGAGATCTCACACTCAACACTCAAAGATAACCAGTGTTAACATATTGATGTATGTTTGTTTCAGGATTTTTAGATACATAGATTGCTGGTTATTTGGTTTCTGCAAGAGGAAGATTGGGATCCACTGACTGTATTGTAATACCTTATTTTAAAAAAAAAAAAAGAGGTATGTAATAGCTGCATTTTTCAATATTCTTTGGGAAAAAAAATGACAAGTATATTCCTATAGGGAAAAGTACGTGCACAATATTCAGGCACCTGTGTGTCCATTCAACTACTTAAATAAATAGTTTCAAAACCTGGTAAAAGGAAAGAAGGCACTGAGAATCCCAGTGCATTTTTGGGAAAATAAGGTTTGGGACTAAGATAGATCCAGGTTTTAAGTTATTCTCTGTCCTTTAGTAATTCATATAACCCTAATTCAAACTCATATATATCTCATACAGATACTGTCCTTACCCTATGGAGCACAAAGGGAATAATACCTTTCCACCCCATCAAAGAGTTATGGCCAATAATCCTATAACAAAAGACAGATTAACAAGAGAAAAGCATAACAAATTTATTAAATCAAAGTTTTATGTGACATGAAAGCCTTCTGAATGAAGACACAAACAAATGAGGAATACTACCCATTTTATGCTTAGGTTCAATGAATAATGGACAGCGAGATAAAGCTGTTATTGGACAAAAAGAGTAAGGTCTAATGAGAATAGATTGCATGAGGAAACTCAGCGAGGCCTGTGTATTCCAATTCTTCCTGGCCTCCCTGTGCAGCATTCCTTCCTCCCTGGTATAGGGCAGGACCCTTCCCAGAATGAAGATATTATGACCTACTATCAGGCAAGGTGGGTCAGAAAATTTCTTTATTGCCAGCTCTTACACAGAAAGTGAGAAGATTAGAGTAAATATTTTAGGTTGTATGGCTGGCTTTGAAAAACAGGGGTTCTAGTTTCTATAATCTGCCTTGAGAAAAAGGAATTCTAGTATCTATGGCTTGCTTAGGGAGAGAATAAGGGGTGAGAGACAGGGGAGCAGGAGAAGGTCAGAAAGAAACTTTGCTTCTGAGGCCTTTATTTTGTGGTATCATTTCTGAATCCCAACAACCGCATCAGTAAAACAGAAATGTAAATATCTAATTTTCAGGGTTGCTAAGATGATGAAATGAGAGAAATAAACCTCAAGTGCAATTTCTGGTAAGTAAGAGCTAACAGATTTTGAAGTTCGTGTCATCTGTTCTGCAAACATTTATGACATGTATCCTCCTATCTCCAGGCTCTGTGGGGGATAAGTATAGTAGGGCAAAGCAGGATAAGTCCACAATTCTTCCTTAACTACAAGCCAAATTAGTGCTGTTTCTGCTGACTCTTTACTTTCGATGACCCACTTTCTTAAACTAGTGATTCACAAACCCTAAAGCTCTATTGTTGATGTTCACTCTTTTATCCATTTACTATGATTGGGCTTCTGCCCCATCAAACTACTAAAAACATATTTTTTGGATACAACTTGTGTCTTCCTAATTACCAAATATGTTCTCTTTTCTTTTGTATCATTTAATATATTTAATATAGTTAACTTTTGTAAAACACTTTCCTACCTTGGTCTTTCACAATTATGCACTATTTTGGTTCTCTTCTGATCTCCCTAGCCATTCTTCTTCTGGCTTCCTATATGCATTCTCTAAGATCTGACCTTATCCCTTTGTTTTCCTTTTACAAAATATGTTGTCTTGGAGAATTCAGTTATTCTGTGCCTGAGGGATTCTACTATGTGGATATTTCTGAGTGTTTCTGGAACCATACTCAATACTGTGTTTTCCAAAAATACACACAATACCAGCTTTATAGTAAGTCCTCACTTAATGTTGTACATAGGTTCTTGGAAACTATGACTTTAAATAAAATGACTTATAACAAAACCAATTTTATTTATAGGCAAATGGAAATAAATTAGAATTAAGTTCCTATGGCATATTTTTAGTCACAAAAACATCACCAAACTTCTCAATAAAGACTAAAACACTTCTAATATTAAACATTGAAATAAATGTGAGCTATACATACACTTAAGGAAGATTAATAATACCAGTAAGAACATTATTTCTCCACTTATTCTAGTTCAGGGTCTCTGGTGGCCAAAGGCTATCCTGGCAACTCAAGATGCAAGGTGAGAACCTACTCTGGACAGCATGCCATCCCATCACAAGGAGCTCTCACACACACCGACACCCACGCACGCTGGGACACTTTAGACCCACCAGTTCACCTAACGTGCATATCTTTGGGATGTTGGAGGAAACTGGAGCACACAAAGAAAACCCATGCAGACATGGGGAGAACATGCAAACTCTGCACAGACAGTGACCCCAGTCAATATTTTTTTCCTCATCAATGTTTTAATGAAACAATTTTATTAAAGGACTTGCTTTGTGGCTCATGCCTGTAATCCTAGCACTCTGGGAGGCCGAGGTGGGCGGATTGCTCAGGAATTCGAAACCAGCCTGAGCAAGAGCGAGACCCTGTCTCTACTATAAATAGAAAGAAATTAATTGGCCAACTAATATATATAGAAAAAATTAGCCGGGCATGGTGGTGCATGCCTGTAGTCCCAGCTACTAGGGAGGCTGAGGCAGAAGGATTGCTTGAGCCCAGATGTTTGAGGTTGCTGTGAGCTAGGCTGATGCAAGGGCACTCACTCTAGCCTGGGCAACAGGGTGAGACTCTGTCTCAAACAAACAAAACAAAACAAAACAAAAAGAAGGACTTACTGTACTTCATAGCTTCCCTAATTTCAATAGTAATGCATCACCAAACATTTTTGGTGCCAACATATAGTCAATCACTTACTTAGCTAAGTTGACACTTAGCTTTTCAATATCCTTAGCGGTTTGGTAGACGTAAGTGTTGCTCACCTTTTCTGGTACTCTTTTCCTTATAGGTATGTGAGAAAGTTATTCCCATGCCCTTGAAATCAGGCATGCCATGTGCCTTACTTTGTCCAGTGAAATGTAAGTGATATATCACTTCTTGGTAAAAGTATTCAAGAGCTGAGGCACAATTCTCAATGTTCTCTCTTCACTTGTAGTGGTAATAATGGAAGCTTATGTTGACTTTGAGATACTATAAAATCAAAGTAGCATGGAATGCTGGGCAAACACAGAAGACAGCTGCCTGGAAAGTCATGCAGATTTGTAGACTTACCATGAACAAGAAATAAACACTTGTTATCTAAACCACTGTAATTTTGTGGCTGTATAATCTAGTTTATTCTAAATGATGACAACAGTCTTGCTGCTATCATTCTAGTTAAGACTGTCATTCCATGATCACTGTTGATATTTTGGCATAAATATTCCCAGGACCACATTGTTAACTTAAATTAAATTGAGTGTTTATGGACCAATCACTGTTCTAGGCACTAGGAATATATTAAGGCCAGGCTCGGTGGCTCATGCCTGTAATCCTAGCACTCTGGGAGGCCGAGGCGGAAGGATTGCTCAAGGTCAGGAGTTCGAGACCAGCTAGAGCAAGAGTGTCTCTACTAACAATAGAAAGAAATTAATTGGCCAAGTTAAAATATGTAGAAAAACTTAGCCGGGCATGGTGGCGCATGCCTGTAGTCCCAGCTACTCGGGAGGCTGAGGCAGAAGGATTGCTTGAGCCCAGGAGTTTGAGGTTGCTGTGAGCTAGGCTGATGCCACAGCACTTTAGCCAGGGCAACAGGGTGAGACTCTGTCTCAAAAAAGAAAGAAAAACAAAGGAATGTATTAATAGTTGTGAACAAAACATAAAAAAAATTTCCTGTCCTCATAAATCTTACATTCTAGTAGGGGTGAGAGATGAGGAAGTCAATAATAAACATACTAAGTAAATTAGACAGTATATTAGTAGAAGATGATATAGAGAAATGTGAAACTGGGTAAGGGTATGGGATTAGGATTAGGAATGGGATTAGGTTAAGAGTTAAATTTTGGACAGATTTTAGTTGTATATTTAGAAGTGTGCCAAAAACAAATTTTGGCTGAATGTGATTGAACAGGTGTTAATCAATATTGAGCTAAAGCCAGATATCACCGTCCCAGAGTGAACTTCTCAGTTAAATTAAAAACCTGGAAATTTTATCCAGAGATATGTTATTAAATTGTATTATTAACATTTCATATTGATTTTCAAACTTTAACATTACAGTGTAGTACATGTAATTTTTTAGCATTGAGGACTATTACCAGCACTGTGATACACATTTGTGATACTAAAAGATATTCACTTTCTTTTTCCTTTTTTTCTTTTTTTAGAAATGGAGTTTCTCTGTGTCACTCAGGCTGGAGTGCAGTGGTACAATCATAGCTCACTGCATCCTTGAACTCATGGGCTCAAGCAGTCCTCCTGCCTTCAGCCTCTCAAGTAGCTGGGACTATAGGTAGGAATCACCAGGCTTGGCTAATTTATTTTTTATTTTTATTTTGTGTAGAGGTGGGGTTTTGCTGTGTTGCCCAAGCTGGTTGAACTCCTGGACTCAAGTGATCCTCCTGCCTCAACCTCCCAAAGTGCTGGGATTACAGGCATGAGTCATATTCACTTCCAAGTGAAGTCTTTGGAGGAGCAAGATTTTTATTTTCTAGATATCTTATGTTTCTTGAACATTCCCTTCTTTTCTTCATACTCTATAGTTTCCATATATCTGTATTGGAGATAATTTGTTATGAAAGTTGTTGATTTATTATTGCCTTACCAGGTTCATTGCCCACTGCTCAAAAGGAAACCAATACACTGAGACAGCAAGGGTTACAGCAGAGAGAGCTAGATAGTTTAATATCAGAGATGCCATGCAAGGAGACAGGAGGATCTCAAATCCATCTCCCCAAGAATTTGGGAGAAAGGGTTTTTAAAAGATAATTTTTTGGGCAAAGGGCTAAGCAGTTGGGTCTGCTGATTCTCTGGGCTCAGGGTGGAAACATAGGAGTGTAGAAATTGTCTTCTTGTGCTGAGTTAGTTTCTGGGTGGGAGTCATAAGACCAGTTGAGTCAGTTCCTCGTAATGGGCCACTGATCTGGGTGGGTCAGCTGCTTCACTGGAATGCAGGGCCTGGAAGATATCTCAAAAGCTAGCTTTATAAATTTCACAAGGGTGATATTATCTATGTGAGTAATGAAGAAAGCTAAGAATCTTATCAGCTATGTGTCTCCTGAGTAGGAAGCAATTATAGGAAAGCAAGCTTGGGAACAATGGCTTGTTTATATATGTGTATGTACACATATATGTGTGTGTACACATATATGTGTGTGTATGTATATGATGTACACATATATACATACACATTATATATGTACACATACATATAATGTACACGTAATACATATATATACATTATATATATATACACACACACATATATATATTTTCTTCATTACAGGTCCCACTTTGTGGCCCTTTATTAATTTTAAAAAGGGCAGTGTCAGATTCATGATTTTGGTGTTGTTCCCTCCTTGAGATCCTCAAAGTTGATATTCTCCTTTTTTTTCCTCTTTACAAGATGAAGAGATTCCTAAATAGGGGTTTTACTTGAACTATTTTGAGCCTCAATACATTTAAATATTTAATAATTAATATGGTACTTAAAGACTATTTTGTTTAATACAATCCAAACACTTCTGCACAGATTAGAATTATATTCCTATTTAAATAGCTTGCAACTGAGAATAAAGTGGTGAATAGACTGCCTGGTGAAGTCAGACAAACCAAGAAGGAAGATAATTTAAAAGTGGGAGGGATCAATGATACATTAAATAATTCTTTCTCAAATTAAGTTGAAGGGGTTCAGAACATTCCACCCCCAAATATGCCATTTTGACATATGTATTATTTTGAGCTAAAGGCAATCAAGAACCCAGCAGAAGTAGAGAAAGCTTTTTACTTCCCTCTCAAGTGCCTAAAATAAAGTATAAGTGTCTTCTTTTGTAAAGGAAATTTACATTTGTAAAACAAATTTCCCTTAGTAAAGATATCTATCTGTAACAGGAAAAGAGCTACTCCTAGAGGCAACAGTTACTGCCTTTGAGATTCTTACCTGTGTAACAAAGTAACCTTTATTGACCATACATTTCCTCCCGGTACCTTCTCTCAGTTTGCCTGTTCTCCCCCAGAAGCCGACCCTCTTCCTTTCCTTAGCTCCATATGATATATTAATATGTCTCCATCATCTGTCCACCTCAGCAAATTTCATATTTTTTTGAAACTCCCATTGGAACATATGTAATTAAATATTGTTTTCTTCTGTTCATCAATGTCAATTTAATTCTTAGACCAGCCACAAAACCTAGAAGGGCAGTAGGAAGCATTTTCCTCCGGTATTGAGTGAATGAGAGAATTCCCTAGCCCATGTTCTTATGAGAAAAAAAAGACTAATATTAATCAACTTCAATCCAGCTGGATCACAGAACCATAAAAAGATAGAGCTAGAAGAGACCCTTGAAATATGATCATCCTATGGAATTTAACTCACACATGTAGGAAATCAATTGGTATTTCATTTGGGCAGAAATATTAGAAGTAATAGTAAATATGAATTGAATACTACTATTTGACACACACAAATTGCTTTATGTGCTCTCTTGAAACCATTATATCAACACTATGAAAACCTACTGATGCCTCCATTTTACAGATGATATTGTCAGGCTTCAGTTTGAAATGTCGGTTCTTGGTGCACCCATGGTTGAAGAATGACCATACGCATCAAAGTTAGGCAAACACAGAAATGAGGGTCATTGAGGAGAGAAAGGATTATAGGGCAAGAGCAAGATACAGGTTTCAGAGCATTATATATACACCACAGAAAGGACCTACTGTCTCAGCAAAGGATCATCAAAAGGAAGGGCCCCAAAAGGGCGTAGTTACGATCTGCCTCTTGTTTTATATGGCCAGGATTGGGACCTCCCTGTGCCTCAGACCTCACCGTGGAACAACTTTGATTGGACGCTTGGGAGCTGCACGATCTGAGTCTCAGTGTGCGTGAAGATCTCCCACCAACCTCTGTGAAAGCCCATGGGTGGGGGCGGGCCGGTGAATCGCCTCAACACCCACTTTGGTCCCTAGGAGACTTGGAATCCCTCCCTTGCTATCTACCTAACAATACAACTGAGGCTTAGAGATAGATGTTAAGCAATTTACTTAATTATTCAACTAGTAAGCAGCAGAGCACTGCACTTTGAATTCAGGCAATTTACCTCCAGTGGTAGCCTTAAACATATTTCAAATGCGTACCTATGCCTAAGGACAAAAACTAGAGGTAACAGGCAAAAAATAAAACAAGCCGTTTGAAGGTAATGAAATTTGATACATTGTCTATTTTTTTCCAAAACATATTTTGCTATAGTTTTTTTTTTACACCATACATACAAGACCAAAACAAAAATACTTATGATCAAAACGATCCCATTTGCTTTTACTATCTCTGTTCCCTGCAGTCTTCCTAAAGTTATCATTGACTTCTAGGTTTTAAATTAACATCCTCATTGACAAGTCATTCTCTCATTATTTCTTTTTCTAAGCCTGGAGATCCTGTCCTCTTGAACTCTAAAAGTTTTCTTAACCACCCAGCCTCTCAGCCTATCTCGTCTGAAGTTTTTACTGCATTCCATCTTCCCCTTCTCCTTCGGACGCTTCACACTCCGGAGAAACCGAACGAAACGCAGGGACTTGGGAACGGACGAGGAAGGATGTCTCAGCAGTGTTTTCTGGGCCTCCAGCTCTCTCCCAGAGCCCTTCCCCCAGCTCCGAAAAGCTTCCTGGAAATGTCCCCGTTATCACTTCCCCTCTCGGGCTGGGGGCTGGGAGCGGGCGGTCCCCTCCGCCCCCGGCCGCTCGCTGGCGCTGGCCGGCCCGCGGGCGCCACCGCGCAGCACAGCTCGGAGAGGGGCGCGCCCGCTCGCAGCTCCGCGCCGCCCCAGCGCTCGGCCCCGCCGCGTCCGCCCGCGCCTCCGCCCGCTCCGACATGAGGGTCTCGCGTGGGCGCTGCGCGGCGCTGCTGGCGTGCCTCGCCCTGGTGCTTTCCGTCTCGGAGGCAAGCTGTGAGTAATCGGTAGCGTCTCGCCTTCTCCCCTCCCCAGCCGTAGCCGGCTGGACTACGCGCCCTGGTTGGTAGGACTTTCTTTAGAGCTGCAGCTTCCTAGAAAGTTTCCCGTGAGTCCCTAGGGACCCCCGGCGGGTGGAAGCAGCTGCGGGTCCAGCGGGCGGTGTAATAATGGTGGGGCAGGGTCCATGTGCGCCCTGCTGCGAGAATATGTCGCCTGCCGCACGGATGCAAAAGCCTGGGTGCCCACGAGTGTCGACGAGGGAATTAGAGCGCCTACTCGTTTCCCCTCAACAGCCGAAGTGCCCCATTAGAGGACAGGGATGAGCAGATTCCAGCGTATGGGTAGGGAAGAAAAGGCGACACGCGGTGTCTTCTCCCTGTACGAGCAGCTTCCCCCACCTGCACCCTCTCCTGCAACCTCCCTCCCCTTTGTAGTTGCTGAACTTTGAGCTTGGTTTGCCTGTCTCACACCGACGAACTTTTAGGATGACTGAGGGTTTGCATAGCAGTAGGCGGTTGTCATTTTCTAACCTTGAAATCAAAAAAGACTGTTAAATACTGTATTGTTTCTGTGAGATCGTTCTGTACTGAGGATCTTCGACACTGCGTGCCTCTGATCTGAGGTGGTGGCATGAATACGTTGTACTTTACCTCTTTATTTCTAATTCTTTATGTTCCTGTGCCCGAATTCAAGACAGAAAATTGAGTTTTCTCTGAAAAACATGTAAATAATATCAAGGCATTTACTATATTTCAGTTGTCACTTAATTTATTTTCTAAAGTTTAAGTATGTTCATTGATTAAAAATGTTTTCTTGTGCTCTGTTTTATTCTCAGGAATTGGCACGGGAGAGATCACTCTGTATTACAAATAACTTGTAGGCTCTCTTGAGCTCCAAAGTAAACTTTTCAGAGATTCTTCAAGAGAATTAAATAAGAATTTACTAATATTCCACTAGTTTTTATTAATTAGTAATCAAGATAAATGAGGTATTTTAAAATTCTAATTTAAAGGCTAAAACCTTATTTGTTGATCTTAAAGGGCCAAACTTCAACATTTAAATGATGTGTGACGTCATGCACTAACTCATTATCTATACAGTTCATTAGGACAATTAAATATTTTCTTGGTAGCTAGTGTTTCAGAGAGGAGAAAAAGGCAAAAGCGACTTGCAACACTTAACTGCTTCTCATCACAGGAATTTGCTAGCCCCTTTTTTTGGGTTGAGATTGTTACATTTTGACCAAAATTGAGGCAGAGATAAAAATTCTGTGTGTGTACATGTATTATATATATGTATATGTAATATATGGAGAATGACACTTGTTCTATGTAAATAATGATAGAGTATATAAATTAATTCTATAAGTATGAGAATAGTTGTCTCTATAATGCCTTCATTTAAAAAATTTTGGTTGATTAAACGGGGTGAAAGTTATCTCTGGTTTAGGAGGAAACTTATATACATATGGTATGTTTTTACTCTGTAAGATTTAAAATTTTAGATATATATTAGAACTCTAAATACTTTATTTATAATTCATTGTTTAGCCCATGGAAAGGTAGTTGCTATTTAAAGAAAAAAGTTTATAAATCACAGTGCTTTTTTTGACAGAGTTGTTAGAAATCATCTAGTTCAACTTAATTTTTTAAAAATTGATGCATAATAGTTATATGTATTTATGGAAGTCATGTGATATTTTGTTACGTGCCTGGACTCTAATGATCAAGTCCGAGTATTTGGGGTGCCCATCCCCTCAAATATTATAGTTTCTATATTTTGGGAACATTTTAAGTCCTCTTCTTAATTATTTTGAAATACGCAATACATTGTTGTTAACTATAGTCACCCTATCCTGCTATTGAACATTAGAACTTCTACCTAACTGTATGTTTGTACACATTAAACAACTCCTCTCTACCCCCCAACTCCCACACCCTTCCAGACTCTGATATCTATCATTCTACTTTCTATTCCCATGAGATCAACATTTAGCTCCCACATATTAGTGTTTTTCAGTGCCTGGCTTATTTCACTTAACAATAACAATAAAAATGACGACTTCCAATTCCATCTAATTGTTGCAAACGACATGAATTTTTAATGGCCAAATAGTATTCCATTGTGTATATATACAACATTTTCTGTATCCATTTGTCTTTTCGATGGACACTTAGGTTGATTTCATGTCTTTTCTACTGTGAATAGTCCTGCAATAAACATAGGAATGCAGGTATCCCTTTGATTTACTGATAAATACCCAGTAGTGGGATTGCTGGATCATACTCTAGTTCTATTTAGTTTTTTGAGAAATCTTTATACTATTTCCATAGTGGCTATATAAATTTACATTGCCACCAACAGTGTATGAGTTCTCTTTTCTCTGCATCCTCACCAGCATCTGTTATTTTTTGTCTTTTTTATAGTAGCCATTCTAACAGTGGTGACATAGAATATCTCACTGTGGTTTTGATTTGAATTTCACTGATATTAGAGATATTGAGCATTTTTTTCGTATATATGTTAGCCATTGGTATGTCTTCTTTTAAGAAATGTATATTCAGTTCCTTTGCCCACTTTTTAATGGGATTTTTTTTTACTGTTAAATTGTTTGAATTCCTTATATATTCTGGATATTAGTCCCTTGTTAGATGAATAGTTTGCAGATATTTTCTCCCATTCAATAGGTTGTCTCTTCCCTCTGTTCATTGTTTCCTTTGCTGTACAAAAGCTTTTTAGCTTAATATAGTTCTGTTTGACTATTTTGAGAGTCCTTTTTCCTATGCTTTTGAAGTCATAGCCATAAAATTTTTGCCTAGACCAATGTCCTCAATTTCCCCTATGTTTTCTTGCAGCAGTTTTATAGTTTCAGGTCTTACATTTAACTCTTTAATCTATCCCAAATTGATTTTTTGTATGTGGTGAGAGATAGGGGTTTGAATTCTTCATTTTAACAATAAAAAGTTATTCAGAGATATTAACTAACTTCTAGATATTGTGTATGTGTGTGTGTGTGTGTATATATATATATATGAGATACATGTGTGAGAGAGAATCTATATATTTAAAACATTTACTGTCTATATATTTTAATCATTTCTCACTAAGGACTTGTGGTGAAGGGACATAGGGGAAAGAGGATGTCTTATTTAGCTGTGCTAATTTGGCCTTATCTAGACTTCCACCTCTGGGTGGGTACAGTCTGTCCTGGACATTACTGACTCATATTTTTTTTTCTCTTTTTGCATCTTCTTCTTTCCTTCTCTAATTATTCCTTTTACTATTCCTGTTTCCTTCTCTTTTCTTAAATTTTCTTTACTTTAAAGTCCTAAAAGTTGTACTGATGGAGAGATTTTATCTAGTTGGATTTGTGCTGGAGGATTTAGAAACAGTTTCTGGTGTACGGCAATGACAACAACAAACCCTATGCTATGTTCTCTTACCATTCTATGCTAAGGAGGGAGGATGGAAGAAAAATTTGAGTGATTTATTGGAAAGCTACTGAATGGCATGATGAACAACCAGGCAGGCGTAGGGAGGCCAGGCATTTGAGCATTTAGGTGATCGATAGGTGGGAACTCACGTGACACTAATTTAGGAACTATCAGTCAGTTGACTCAGTTCTAACTGCCTCATAGTCCTTTGTGTCCCTGCTCTCAATTCAAATTCCTAGGAGAGCCTGCTCATTTTGGCTTAGCCTGGCTCTGGAGTCCTGTGGCTGTTAGCTCACTAGAATCACATAGAGTGCCAGAAGGATAGTTCCCACAAAGAATGGATTCCCACAAAAGAAAGGGTGCAGAAATAAGAAGTGTATACATTCTAATTTGGTTGTATAACATACACACATGTCCTTTTTTCTATAAACATCATTTGAAAATATTTGTCTAATATAATGCAAATAACTCCTCTGCCACAGAAAGAATCCCCTCCTTAATAGGTTCCAGTCACCACATCCAGAGAGGAAGGCTTGAGGCTACCCATTTTCTTGGTTTGTATCATCAGATCATGGCCTAGCTTCCTGCAGGTCTGTGCTATGCTTTATGGGTAAAATGATACACTATAGTATACCAACCATCTTATATGCTGGAAAAAATAAATAAGTTAAAAACAAGCAAGGGAATACTGGCAGTGGTGTTAGGAGTTCCTTGTCTCTCTCTTGGTTACAAGCTGGTATTTATGATTCTTTCACTATCCATTTTGTGTCTTTTTTGCCCTTAGGAAGTTCCTAATGTTTGTGTCTGTTGAATTAAATAAACCACACTCTTATTCAGGAAGACTCTAAGCCCTTGTTGTTCCTACCTGGTATATCCATTGATTCTTTTCTATTTGTACTGTATACAATCATCATCCTGGAGTTCTACCCTTCTAACCCTGACTTATATGTGGCAACTACACTGTTTTGCGTTGATTACTGTCATCATTCTGGCATAATCCTCTTTTTTCTCCTTCGGCAAGAGTAAAAAAATTAAAATAGCTACATAGCAATCTCACCTTCTAATTCAGTGGAAAATATATTAGGTGCCATAGTGGATGCATTTATTCTTGGCTTCCAAATTTCTAGATGAGCAGAACCCAGTTGTGAGGAAAGAATATGAAAAAATTGAGACTAGGTAACTATTAGTTGCCTAGGACTGCCATAACAAAGTACCACAAACTGGGTGGCTTAAACAATAGAAAATTCTGGTCTCGAATTCTGGAGGCCACAAGTCTGAGATTAAGGTGTCAGCAGGGTTGGTTCATTTTGAGGGTCACAAGGGAGAATCTGCTCCATGCCTTTCTCTTAGCTTCTGGTAGCCTCATTTGCTCCTTAGCTTGTAGATGGCATTCTCAGTCTGCCTTCACATTGTCTTCCCTCTGTACATGTCTGTCTCTGTGCCCACATTTCCCCTTTATATAAGGATACCAGTCTTATTGGATTAGGGCCTACCCTAAAGACCTCATTTAATTTGAACATCTGCAAAGACCTTATTTTCAAATAAGGTCACATTCACAAG